CAGCTTTAGCAACTTTATTCTTTATCGCCTTCTCCATAGCATCCTACAAAGTAAAGTAGCTTGTCAATTAGGAATAGCCAAGTGCAAGTGAAATTGCAACTTCTGACCAAAAAACAGAGATAAAAGTACAGTAAGAGGTGGAAAAAAGTAATTGTACACCTGAGTAAGACAACAACAAAATCAACCGTTCACAATATATTTTAAATGCAGTCGAATATAAAACAGCCAAAAAAGGAAGGGTATATTGCCGACATCTGCCCATTTCCTCATGTTTAGTCATGAATTAAGCCATTCACGTAAAAGAAAAAAAATGGAAATATCTTATCACATTAATTAAAAATGCTTTTCTCAGATCCATTTTGCTCAAAAGCAATGCATATATTTTACTGACTCGGCGCTTGAGATTTCCGAAATTCTAACAAACCATCGACAACAATCTTGACTAGCACATCAGAAAGTCACGGTACACATATTTTACTGACTCGGCACTTGAGACTTCCGAAAATTATTGCAACCTCTCGACAAGTATCTGGATTGTCGCATCAGAAATTCATAACTACAAGGATATCTTAAATTCTTTAGCATAATTAGAGACAAATGATGATCCTAACAACCAAAAAGTACATGCAGTCGTCTACATTACTTTAGCAAGTAAAGTTCACTTTTATACTTCAAGCAGCCATCGACAACATATACTATGGCTGCTGATGCACGTGTAACCTTATCATGATCCAATGAGAATGCATTGTTGCAGTGCAACCAAATTTAGTTGTTTTAAAATAGAACATACCAGGAAAGGTTCAACAGCCTCCAACTCTACCCAAAGCATAAATGCCATTTGTGCCTTCTCTACTGTCTTAGGCCTTCCTGTCAGGCATTTCGCCACTATTGCATCGCATACCTCTTTTGCATACCTAAACCCGACAGAAAATCGTAGTTAATCAATTACATCATCGTATCAAATATAGTCCCCAAATTTCTCAGAACAAGTTCAAATGAAAGTGAGGAGTAAACTTCCAGATAACGAACCTTCCAGCATCAGCATCCGCGGCTTTTAGAAATGCAATGAGAGCATCGAGACCTTTCTCCTGAACAGGCGCATTGGAATCCGCCACGGTCTTCCTAAAAAACGGACCTAACCAAAGAACACAAGAAGATGACAAATTGGAAACCGCTGAAAAGACAAACAAAATATTGATCCACGCACGTTAAGCCTATCTCCTTTATTAGTTTCTCCAGCAGATCAACTACATCATAATAGAAACGAAATCAGATCTAACGCCAGAATCAAACTAAGTCCTCACCGAAATCACGGAGCCGCGGGTCCTTCGGGTCCGAGATTGAGTCGCAGACGGTCGCCAAATCAATATTCGCGTCATTTCTCACCTTCCAATTCTTGTGCGTCAGGCGATCCTCCCACGGCAATTTCTTCGCCTCCCTGAGCAACTTCTCGTCCTCCGACATTATCCTCTTTTAGGCCGATAAAATGTCTTCAAACCCGGCGAGATTAATTGAACGCGTCGGCAACGGCGCCGGCGTATTGCTGCTTGTGCCTTCTCAAAATTTCGCCGTTAACTTGTACTCCGAGTATCCACTCGGCCCGAGTGCCGGCAAGTCCCGATCGATGGTGACTGTGGGTAGGGTGGGTGGGAGGCGGGGTGCGTACTATAATAAATCTAGTCTCTATTTTTCAAAAAATACAAAATAATAATAATAATAATAATAATAATAATAATAATAATAATAATAATAATAATAATAATGGTAAACTATTACACTGTGTTACGTTGAGGGTCGGAGTGGGGTCCACAGCCGGAGTGCGGTAGCGGATAGAGACAAAAATACTAGCAAAACCATTTCGCGATTTCGAATTAGGTCTTTGGAAGGGGGTGGGATTGAGTGAGGCAACATCCATGTAATCGGATTTTGATTCGCCGTTAGATGGTGATTCAGATGTGGGGTTTGGGGCTGTGAAGCTATTTGGATCGTCGGATATGAGAGTATGATCCATCGAACGTGAGGCGACGGCACACCATTATATATTTTATTTTATTTTCATGACGACGGCAATTTAAATTCCTGGAATTAAACGGCTACTTTGTTTTAAAATTAACGAGTGATTTTACATGTAAATTATTAAATTAATTGCAAATAAATATATATCTCATTTTATTTTTATTTTTTATCATCTATATCAAATTATCAATATATATAATTGCTAGTATATTTTAATACTTTACTTCTATATATTAAATAATAAACCATTAGAAACATATATATCTTCACTTTAAATGGGTCCACACAGGGGCGTAGCCAGGATTTTTTTCTACTCAAGACTGCTTAACATTGAGCAATTGTTCAAATCAAACTATTCACTAACACAATTCATTTTGGCATGTGAAAGCTCAAACTCAACTATTTCATACATTTCAAAAGGTTAAGCTCGGATACTAATCAAGTTTGTTTATTAAATAATCACAAGTTCGAAGATAATATATCCGACTTGGCTCGACTCGAATAACATCTTTAGTTAGATGTCAAGCATAAGAAACCAATGTATGAAAATAATTCTTTTTAATATTCAATAGAACTTACATAATTACAAAGTTAAATGAATTAAGGTTAGTTTAAAAATCCAATGAATGTCAAAACTAAATTATTAAAATCCATAAGTTGAATTACAAAATAAATGTTCTATTGGAATTCTAGAAGAACCAAAATATATAAATTAAAATATAAAGTAAATGATATATTCCATATGTAATGTAATATAAATTAGATGAATAAACCAATATTATTTCAAATAACATAATTCAATATGATTCAACCAAAAAAAAAA